TGCAGCAATACTCTTCTTTATCCACGGCTTTGTGTTAAGTTTCTGTCATTGCGTGGGTTATTTACCCCGAGGAGAAATATTGGCGGTGGCTTTTGCACCTTCTGAATGTTGTTGAATTTGTGATTGTCATTGTATGTTTTGTTATTGGGTTCATTATCATTAATTAGTTCGAGATCTGAAACTCTATTGTCTGTTGGTATGTTAGTAACGTTTGCACTTTGACGTTTCGATTGTTTTTGACTTTCAGGGCTGTTTGATTTACATCTCTTGCGCATGCTTACAACAACCTGCCATTCATGCTTGTTGTTATCACTACTTAAATTACTGCCAGATCGATTAAGTTCTGGATTTATTACATCGGTTGAACTTGACGACTGTACTGCAGAAGGGAATAATGGCAAAAGCATTGCTATCACTGTTCCTTGTTGCATCTGATGTAATATGAGTTGTTGTTGCTGCTGTTATTGTTGTTGAAGAATGAATTGAGTTTGTAGTTCAGCTTGACTTATAGTTGACGAATCCATTATGAATTCAGTTTCTGGCTGATACTTGTTCTCCGTAGTTATATCGATTGTTTGCTTCTTATGGAGGCAACATTATTTTCTTGAAAACAATAGTTGGAACACAGAATTTCGTAAACAGGAAATATAATTAATCACGAAAACGCAAAACAGCACCTGTCAAAACACTGTGTTGTGTGGATGCACAACAATAACTATGAGTAAACGCAAATAAAGTCACGAGACACCGCGTAGTAGCGGACACGCCCTCCCAACTCCACCGTTCACGAGAACTCGTTCTATCAATCAGTCACTATTACAACTTTATAATGAGGTGATTATCAGAATAAGAATATTTCCAACGCCATAAAATGTAAAACTTGTTCTCAAAGAAAACGCTATGTTTACATTCAAGACCTGTATCGTCAAGTGTACGGTTAAATACGTCCTAGAACAAGTTGGTGTCGCATGTGGTGGGAGGGGGCGAAGCGAAGGGTCGGCGGAAACCTAGGCGATTGCAGCATCAGGACGTCCTGCGCAGATAGGGGCCCCAAGCGTTGCGTTGCCGTGGCAGTAAGTTCAAAAGGAGGCGAGCATTTTTTCTACGAACGACTAAAGCAAAACGTCACCCTACTTTTAAAAGGCTTTATTGTGCTGTGTTGTCTACAAACGTCAACAGCTTCATAAGTGTAGTGCCTATACTACTATCCCGGGATGAAACGGTATTCATCCCCCACTGGATACAGTAATGCACTTTCTTGAACCTAATTGTACAGTGTACAAGAAGGTCCTGCTCCAGCATTCGCCTGTTATTGATCTGAGGAACCGCTGAAAACTACCGATCAGAGCAGCCGGTTCACATAGAGATTGAATTCGATCAAGGTGCGCTTAGGTAGTTAGTGTCGTCCCCTGCTGTCACTGCTTTTTTTTCGTGATCAAATATTGCACTTTTAGTCAATCGCCGACGTGAACAAAAAATATCATTGTCAAAAATGAATCTAGACTTGGGCTATGTCGCCAACTCTATGAACGGTTTCTACTCTTCCAGAAGAAGTAACACTGCAATGTAGAAACGCCAAATTGATCCGAATGTTAATGGTGTTAACTGAGGCTATACACTCAGTTTCTGCGCTAAACATCTACGGTATATAACTGAAATTAGTGGTGATAACCATCACATTTTATAGTCCGTTCAAAATTTGGAGCTTCGAACAGTGTCGGAATTCTGAAGAAATTGTTCATCACCGTGAAAAAGGGTCTGAATGGGTAGGGAGAGAGTACCAAGAGTAAGCATCCTTCATAACAATAAGTAACTTTTTACATAGATACTCGCGCGAGGTATGCAGTCTCACAAGCTATTTTGGAAAACTATAGCGAAGAACGTGAACTGAAATAAGTACGAAATGTTCAGTTTGTTTTTTTGCAATTTCCTTTGCGAAGCCGACATTTCTCGAGGAGGCAATCCTCGAGTTCAGCATCCCAAAACACAAGTAGAACCGGCGAGGAAAAAACAAAAAAAAAAAAAACTCCCAGGATGTTTTCCAGAATCAGGCCTTTTTGAGTATCAGGTCTAAGGATCAGCTGCCGAAAAATATTTTTCGGATACGACGTCCTCAAAAATAATAAAAATCGACTGGGTTACGGCCTTGGTGTAATAATATCTGGGGGTACAATTCGGTAATTGGAGTGTATTTGGGTTTACGGGAGGGGGAGTTGAAGTGAGTTTGGTGTTAGGGAAAGGGTTGTAGAAGTGAGTATTTTCAAAAAAGCTAATTTAGAATAGTTTAAAGATATTGCGTTAAGGAAAATACTCGATTATACAAAAGTATCCAACTTCAATAATGAAGGTTCGAAAAAAGTTGAACGTTTACAATTCGGAATTCGTTTTTAGAGGAAATTGAAAACACACCATATAATTAAGCGAACACCGCTCTTTTAAAACAAATAATAATAATAATAAAATTTAAATGGAGCCGTTTGAGAAAATTTTTTGCATTTTTTGTCTCTATTTGGCACAAAATTATGCGAAAATTCGTATTTTAAAAAATGTGCACGGATTTAATTGAAGATCTCATTTTGAACAATTTAATTTACAAAAAAACTCATAAGTTGTAGGTAAAGATTTAAATAAGGATAACTTTTGCAATTTTCGAAAATTCAGTTATTTCAATAAAAATCGAGTCTACGCCAGTTTTATAAGCGTAGATATATCTCTAGTCGAGAAAAAATCTAAACAGTCTTTGGGGCTCCTAAAAAATTAACACGTTTCAACAAATCTGAGGGGCCGTGTTCTTGGTCGGATCAATTGGGGTCTATAAGCGTCTATAGACCTATAGGCGCGCGCGAACTAAAAGAAGAGGCGGGCCAAGTGCATTTCTGGGTTCCCTTTTCAATTTTACCTTTTTCTTTACATATGACATATTTTCTAGGAAATAAAACATACTTCAATAAAAATGAAAGTACGCTATTAATAAATATAATTGATTTTATTGAACAATTTATAGTAGTCAAATGGTTCGGAGAGCTGCTTTCCCAAATATCACGTATAAAATCACAAACTTGTCATCTAAAAGTGGGTGAAAATCATTAATTGATCTTAATTCCGGAAATACAATGTTTTATTGCGTTGCGTTAAGGGTACTCTCTCGAAATTTTCAGGGGCGCCCAAGAACACCGTGTGTGCACGCCTAAGGTGGGAGATTATTGATTTTGGTGAAAATCCTGTGTACGTTTCAGGTACTAGTGTTCTTTAGACGGACGGCAGTTTTGCTGAAAACTAATTTTTCGGTCAAGGATCCGCAGAAGATTTCAAGGAAGTAATTTACTACATACCAGAAGAATAAACCTACTTTTTCCGGATTCGGGACCCACAAAACGCGTTTTTCCCCCAAAAAACTGTTTGCTGCAGCATTACAGTACTTTCTCTGCAATACATGAGAAAGTGATAAGCTAAAAGAAAGAAAACACAACTGAAAAATTCCAAGTTATTGCAGCAGCTGATGGTGACTTTTTGATATTTTCATCTACAATGCATGGGGATGTTTTCAAACAAAAGTTTTTCTTCTTTTCAATCATCTACATGGTGAAAATCAATCTGTACATGGTGGGGGGGAAAAAGTGTTTATACAATAAAATCATGAAATTTAGGCAAGTAGAAAGTTCTAAATTAAAGCTCTTAGTGATTGTATGTTGCAAGACATACATGATGTTTTGCTTTTCCCTAATTGTTCAGACATTTACATAAAAACTAGTGGTACTACAACAGCACATACGTTTTGCCATCAATCAATTTTTTGGTATGAAGCATGAACAAAACATGGATTCTGGCTACACCACATGTTAGATTTTTACTCCTATATTTAGCAACTGGATTTATCCACTTTTCCGTTACCAGAGCTTTGCAATTAGAGAGTTTTGGAGTGGAAAATTCCGTTTTCCATTGCACAATTACAATACTTTCTGTTCTTAAGTAAGTTCGAGAAAGTAATAAAATTTGAAATTTGTTGGCATCATGTATCGTTGACTTGAATTTAGAGAGAAACAAATTAAGAAAATGCTTGCAACTAATTGCTTTAAAAAGACAAATCACAAAGCAAAATCTGTGAGAGGGTAATTTCTTACCCGCTTACAAAGCTTTTGAGCACCCCTCAATTCTATAAGTTGCATGCCCTAGAGCCTATGCTACAGCCTAATCGGCCATACCGCAGAGGCAATATAGATTAGCACACACAATATTCTATGAACTTCAGGGTGTTAATCCCCAGTTTCACACGATGATTGGGTCCAGATGGATTTTCTCACATCTACCTCGGAGAATGTTAAACACTAATTTTTGAATTTTTAAAAATATCTTCTGATAAGCACAATAACTAAATAATGTTCAAGTATTATGTAATACAAATTCCCAATTCAGTACATTTATATCACAACAGCTAATATTTTAACATTGTAGGAAAAATGATTTCTTATTTACTGTTCGCTATTTCCTGATAAACTACATGTGTGCAGACATGCCTAGAAATTGAGTGGTACATGTACTTCAATAACTCAATTGAATTCAGTTTCATGATATCTTATATCATGGCAAGGCTCAAGCCATTGGGCCTACTCTTCCATCTCAACATGGAACTTTCACCATGCTCATTTCACCATCTAGTGAAAAAAGAATCAATCAGGTCATTTAAAATTTAGCTGAGCAGCTTCTTTTGGGCTTCAGGATCTTTCACACGCAGTAAATATACATGGAACACCCAGCTTCGCTTCCCACCCAAAGGAAAGCATATGATGGGTTTTTTTGCTCTCTAAAATAATAACATCACACTATAATCATCATTATTCCACTGAAGCCATGTTTTTTTCCTGCTTCGATAATCTCTGGCCTATTGCCTTGTACAATAGTTCCAAGAACAACTTGAATTACATACACCTATAATAATGGGGGGTATTTTATGATGGTGTAATATGTACATGTTCTGGTTCGAAATGAATGTACCTAATAAGTTTTTCTTTCAACAAAAATTATTTATTTACAGAAATTTACAAAAAATACTCCTAGTTATTTTATGGAATAAAAGTTACAAGGAGTAAAACTGTGCACAATATATACAGCGATCTGAATACAAAACCTAAGAATCAAAATCCAAAGACACCTCTGATGCCACAGCAACTTGAACAGCTATCCATTGAGCAATCATGGACTTTGGAGCAGGCACAGCAATAATGCTCAACTTGTCACCTGGAAACATAACAAAATGAAATTGAGTCTTTTTATTAATAGTACACATCCTAAGATTTTTGAGAAGAAGTTAGTAAGAACTGCAGAAATATGCAAGACAAGACATAAACAGCAAAAATATTTAGATAGGCCTTTAATGAGAATTAATTAATATTCTAGAGAGGCCTTCAATGAGAATCCTGCCCTCCATCATTTCCAAAAGAGACGACTTGCACCTTGGAATATCCCTCGAATATCACATCATGCAAGTTGGTCAAACAAGTTTAAATTAATTAAGTGAATAAACAAAACGGCCTAAGGTAACGAAAAAAATTAAGTCCAGAATACTCTATTAACAATGTACCTTCTGGAATTTGTTCACTTGCAGTAGAAAAACCTTAATAAAAGATCAAAGGTTTCCTCATACTATCTACAAGTAAAAATGATTCATTAGCAAAATTCTTACCTTCCAAAAGCAGCTCATTTAAATCCTGAGTTGACAAACATGCTTTAAAAAGGTAACAAACTGATCTGTGAAAGAGTACAGAGTCCCATCTATTATTTTGTACACTCATCAGAGCAGTTCCATATTCGTTATTGACTATTTTTAGAACTTGACCTTTCCCTCGCACAAAGAGAGATCTAGGACACGATGCAATCTGGAATTTTAAAAAAAAAAAAAAATTATTGATACCTTGGCTAAATTTTCCCAAGCAAACAAAAAGCCACATTTTTTTAAAAGGGCCAGAAAATTGAAAATAAAACAAAAAACATTTAAATGATTAATGATTTTTAAAATGATTTCAAATGAAATAATAATATGTAACTTTAAGTATTGAAATATCCATAAAAAACACATATAATCACAACAAACACATACAAATGAGTACAAAAAACAGCCCAAGAAGAAAATAAAGTAAACTGACAATAAAATACAAACTTCATTTCACGCACCCCCCCCCCAACTTTTCAAAAAATAACGGGGGGGGGGGGGGGGGGGGGGGGGGGGGGGGGGAAGAGGAAAGAAGAAGAAAAAGCAAAATCTCCAAAATGTACCTACAGTGTAACAGATGAAACCTACAGTGAACACTGAAAAAATACTTACATTTTTATCTTGACAAAGAGACAAAGACAAAGTAGGCCAAGACGGCAAAAGACAAAGTAGGCCAATGCAACAGACTTAATCTACCACAAAAGCTCAAAAAAATACACCAAATAAGATAAACGTTACTGATTAGTTCCAGCACTTGCAAAATGCACCATGAACCACCATTCGTAGATGCCACTTGGTAAACACACTGCTCTCTACAGATTTAGCAACAGTTTTCTAAGTGAGTATTAGAGGTATTACAATTTTGCGATGGTGAATTGTAAAGAAATTCTTGTGTATGTTACTGACATGGGATAGGAAGGGGAAGTAAACAAATTCTAAAGTAATGGGTTTGCCATGAATAGACATGGAGGATTTTAATTGTTCGTTGTATTAGATATGCTCCTAGTACCTATTTATTTATTTACGTCAAAAACAGTTAAAAACTGTGTGTGACCTTACGTATCACCTCTTAACTCTCCCACAATTCCTTAACCTGACAGTAAGGGACATGGTGTGAAATCTGAGTCCATGGTTCTGAAACAGTTTCCCTGTCTCCAGAATAATGGTGTGAGCACTAGGATGGGACCATGAGCTAGCATAGGCACAAATGTTATTGTACCGGACTGAGACAGCCATAAGATGAAAGGCATAGCATTCAGGGTGAAAAAAAGGTGAATCTTCATTAGAAATTGTTACCAGGAGATTAGTAGTCCCTGCAGAACATCTTACATGGTCCCTCAGGGGCAAATAATGGCAAAACAAAAGGAAGATAGCTCTGATTAAAAAACAAACAAACAAGGGATCTTTACCTATTGTGGTTGCTCTTACTTGATAAGATATCTAAATAATGAGAAAACTACTAATGAGAAAATATTTTCAATGATAATTTTTATTCTCAGAAAAGAATAGCTTCACACAATTAACCTGTTTTCTTTATGACTTACCATTGGAATTTAGAGAGATTATTTAATACATAAATAATTTAACATTCACTCACATTTACTCCTTTTGACATATTTGACACCCATGATATATGTAACTCAATATAATAATTATTACATAGTAACCAGACAGCACCTTTTCTTGAAATTCTCTTTTATTCAAAAGAATTAACAATTACTTCACACAATCAAATGAAGTTCTGAGGCATGTAGCTGCAGAAAATTTGGAAAGGAGTACTCTAGTCTAGGCAAACAAACAGTTATGAACATGGAGATTAAAATTCCCCTGTAAGGCTCGGAATAGCATTTCATTTATTGATCAAAGGGATTTGGATTCATTCCACTCAAGAGAAAGTAGTCAAAACAGTTTCTTATGTTGTAGTAAGTAATGAATTTAATGTGGCACTTGATTCAGAAATATCCTCTTTTTCCTGAATGTACTATATTATTTCAAACTCTAGAACATTATAATATAATCAAAAAAATATTACTATTTAATATTAATTATACATTATTTTCTTTAGTCTACCCCTCTTGACCTACTTTTCCTGAATTTACTATAATATTTCATCTTCTAGTAAAGGAGTTCCCAATGAGGTCAGTATTGACCACCAGGGGCACCATGAAATTTTGAATAGGGCAATTATGATCTAGGAGTCAATAGCCGAATGTGTACTGGCAATTGAAAGGCATTTTCACGATCTCTTTGATAACAAAAAATATTAATGAATATTAACTTGTTTTCTGATATAAAGAAACAAGCCATATTTTAATAAATTACATATTCACTCTTTTTTCCTATCTGTCATTCATCCTTACAATCAGGGGGGTAATACCATAGCTGATGCAACTAATACACAGCACTGGTCCCTGGAAGTAAAGGGCCTTTCATAAGGACCTTTGAATGGATATTCGAAGGGAATAAAACAAATCCCACTCTTATTCTTATTTTCTCCATTGCACCAGCCATATTTTTACATCAATTAGATTTAAAACTGTTTATTTCATATATTTTACAGATAGAGCCTTTTTGACTATCTGCACCAAGGCACTCAAGAACCTAAATATGCAAGTGCTTACGATATTTAGAAAACTCAACCAATTATAACTACACATTTTCACAACACCACTATCACAGAAGAAAACACTCCCCCGCAATAGACTGGAAACAAATTTATGGCAAGTTAAAAAGTGCCCAACATTTTGTAACCATTGCACAATAACTAAAATTACAAATTTAGCTTTTCAGCGGAAGCAATTTTGATTATAGAAAATCTTGGTATAGACCAAAATATCATGTACTAAATTGTCTTTACGACTTGTATGCGCAACTCTTTGTGCTATGCATGATCATCTGTGCTATGTATATTACAGAGTTAATGTATGGAGGTCGCTGGAGCAAAAAATTGTTTAAAAGGGGTCAATGAAAGTAAAAGTTGGAAATCATGATTATAATGTATTATATTTAATTTCAATTATGTACTACTTTCATCTTTTCTATATTGTATCCCTCTCTACCAACGTATAATGTATTGTCAAACAGAAAATAAGTGAAAAATAGACAGTTTAATACAAACATTGTGTGATTACTTTGGGTAGTTCTACCACAGCAAACTTGTATAACAATAAAACCAACTTTAAAGAACTTCATCCACCAATTTTCAATAACGAAAATATTGAATGGCTAATTCTAAAATTACACCTCAACATCGCCCTGTGTAGGCGAATATTACATATTTGCCATTTAGTTACATTTTTTCTCATGAATATCCAGGCCTGCCTAGGTATTTAATTACCTTTATCACCTATTAAACAGCACTTTCCATATTGCCCCCTGCATTGCAGGATATATAATGGTTTTGTTTGTTACAATCATTCTCTTCCCATTCCTGCCTTGAGGGGTGTCTTTTCTTTGTGTTTTTTGTTAAAGCTGTAGCTCACTAGGTATTTGGTTTTAAAGAAATGCTATGAAAGTTGTAGAAAATTGTATTCTCTTTAAAATTTATTGGAATCATTTTCCTTCCAGACTTGAAAGTCAAAAGATGGCAAAATATACAGAAAAATCCAAAAGAGATAAGAAAAATATTGGTTTTTGAGCCTTCTGAAGGTTAGCACAGGTTCTGAGAGGTCTAAAACAATGAGTTTTACCAGTGTCTGAATACATACACCATACACAAAGAAAAGTGTTCATGGCCTTTCTCCAGGTAAAATGGTCTTGACAACTGGACTATTATTGTTCTTGTCCTAATTCTCTTCTTTGGAGTTTCTCAGAATAGAGCAAAATCAGCACTTCATCTGAATCTTCGTGTAACAAACAATTATGCATTGTATTAAAATGTATCTTGATACATATGCCATGAAAGCCCAGAAGAAACAAGAGGCCTGGGGAAGAACATCCATGTATCTCGCCTCATTTCCAACAAATTCAAATTACCCCTCATCCAATTCATAAACAGAATTAATATTTCACTTCAGTGTTATTGTAACTAATGAAAGAGCATAGGCTCACTTCTGTGAGAATGTGACATACGACATGGACCTGTGAGCAGAATGGCATCTTATTTATAACCTCAAACTTTAAGGAATGGTGACACTTTGCTATGTGTAGTCAGTATTATGACAGGACTAAGTCCTTCGACCAACACGATTAACATAAAACTTCTTAAGAGTCCGACCAAAGCATTTTATTCCAAAGTTCTTTTTTGTTGAACACATTCCACTTGATGCTTTGTTACACGGGTCAAAATTGGTAAGGATGATTGGCATTCCACCTAATCAATTTAAACATCTCTGTGCTTATTCCACACATTTTATTTATTTATTTATTTATACAAACAGCAACAGAAAATTGATATAGTGCAGTCAATATATTTAATAAGTTTGAATTGATTTATAGTGAAGTAAATCTTAATGATTTGTAATCTCAAATCACAGACTAATCTAAAATCATTATCAAAAGACAGTGCTGGCTGAGATGAGCTCTTGTGGAATGCTATTCCAGTAATTAAGTAAGTTCGCAAGGATGTTTGTATGGCCAAATACTTTTGCAATTAATTAAAACATAGCGATCTCATTTAAACTATGAAACACAATGCCCTCACTCTTTGGTTTCGTTCACTGATCTCACAACATCAGGGGTGGTTTGTTACGGTAAGAATAGGAATCCATTTTTCCGTGATTCTCAGAACTTGCCAAAATAAACCAATATACAAAACATTTGCAATTAAATGATGAAAGGACTTACCATTTTATACTGTAAAAGCAAACTAGTCGGAGAGAGTCCTGGAGCAGATGATGTATTGTAGTCATGTGGTCGAGGTCCCTGTAGCCACACAAATGTGGCAAACCAATCACAACCAAATTCATTCTCCTCAGGTATGCAGGGAACAGCATCAAAAAGAAGCATATCCTCTTCTGACAAGACAGTTGACAGGCTCTGTTTGGCATTTATTCGTTTGCCCCGAATAAAACATTTTGAAGCCAAGAATAATACTAAATGTTCAGTCTCTGAAATTGAAGAAGTTATTATACACGACAATTAATGGAAAGTTGAGATGGCTCAAATTGTAAGAATATTATACTTGCAAACTCTGAAAGAAAGTAAATTTGTTTTGCTTCTCCAAATAATTAAAATCAATAAGGAATAACTTTTTTTTCCAAGAGCAAAATTAAGTTCCTATTATTTAAAAAACGGCACTTGCTTAAAGCAGTGGATGTAATAAAAAGTTGAAAGGCCAGATGATGCAATGCCTACAATAGCTCTCTAGTAACCTGATTTTGGAAAAGATTAAAAATAATGTGCAATCTTTTCTCTCTTCTTTTTTAATTGTCCACAAATATACATGTACAATACATCCCCTTCCTTAAAATATTTCTATTCTCATTCTTAATATTGGATACTTGTGTGTGTAGTTGGGTACACAAATTTCATACTCCATAACATACACAGGTTCAACATAGGAAGACAACAATAACAAAGGTTAAATTCTTACCATTGTGATCTCTAAAACATAAAACTCCTAATCTATTTTGAAGTTTTTGAACTTTTCCTGAGCAGTTGTAAAGACCCAAGAAGACACCAGGTGTGCGTCCCGCAATGCTTGAATCATTTATCAACCAAGCATTTGTGATATACCAATCTATAATATAAAAGAACAGTAAATTGTACAAATATAAAATAATTCAAAAAATACAAAAATTGCAGGGATACATAACACATTGCATATCTTTTAATGAAAGCTTACCATATTCATGATCAGCTTTACTACCGAATTCGTGGCAAGAAAAACACAGTTTTGAACCAACCATAAGCAAGTTGCACAGTAATACATCGGAAGAAACTGTACCAACAGTTTTCAAATTGTTTCCAGGAAGAACACCCATTTGTGAACTTCCAAAGGCTGAAAAAGCTACCACACACTTGTTTCCCGGAATTATTTGTGTCACTATTCCTTTAACTTCATGTAGGCTCCGCATCTTTTACAGATTTTGGTCGTCCAAGTACAATTTAAATTAAAACAGTATTCTGCTTTACTTCTAAGATCAAATTCTTGCTTTTGTGCAACAATTTTCCTAAACTAATAGAAAAAAATGCAATGTAAGTAACGTATGTACATAATATGCAATTAACTGGAGACAACTCTTGCTTTTATACACAATACGATTTCACACACACGTAACGTGACCCCACGTTTCTACTCCAACTAGAGTGAACGTTCAAACGTTTTCACAACAAACCAACACGACACACCTAAGCATAATTTATAGAAGTATCAGACAACCCATACCATACAGACCACTCCTGGTCCACTCCTTGACATAAACACAAACAACACATCCGCTCCTGGAGCACGTGTTCTCAGAGTAGTTATATACACTTGTTACCACACACTTCATGGCACTTGCAACGCCCCATGCAACCGCCGCATGCAACGCCCCGTAGCACATAATTAGTTTATAGAAGCATGATGCTCACAATGGGTCTTCAATGAATTTATATACAGCAACTCATTATCATAAGGAAAACAAGTTTTCAAAAATAGCTAATACGAACATTTGTTACTTCATTCGAACATTCTATTTACGCGCGCAATAAAAAAATTATATGATTTCAATAGCAACAGCAGCGCTCGTATCTGTTGCTTTACGAACTAAAGTTTGCCCTAAACTTTGAGCTCGTTTAGAGCGAGACAGTGGGAGAAACGTTTCTTCCATCGAAGCGAAGATTTCTGTTCCGCTGAATCCTATCAAAATCACCTGTAGTCTTTACCGTAAAAGTACAGAAAAATGATTTTCTTCTCTTGGCGAAAGTATTACAACGTTGCCAACATGCTGATCTATCGCTCAAATCAAAGATATTAGAAATATTATTAAGGTGTCCAATAAAGCCCTTAATGAGCAACTGACGGAGTTGAGAGATAAAACTGATACTCCATCCGTGCCTCAAAATCTTGTTGATGTAGCGCTAGAAGACTCCGTTCTTATATTAGGATGACTTGCATCGACGTGGCAAAAACAAGACAACAAATTGCCTGGGAATGTTTGCCCCGGGCATCCGTAACGGAGCTAATTGAAGTGTTTGGTGGAAAATCGTGACCTTGGAAACTCCGATAAATAATAGTGCTTTCAACGTAGGTACTAACGATTTAAAGGCAAAATCAAAAATTGAATATTATATGGAGATAATTATACGATTCTTGTCAATTGTAGCCAAAAGACAAAGTTACCAACGCGCTTCTACGTAGTAAGTGTGTTCTACGACGCAGAGACATGTCCTGGTGAGGCGCATCGTGCCACGTGAATGATCTTAATAGCTGGGTTTTGCCGAAACACACAAGTCAATTTCGTTGAGCCCCAACTCCTGGGTGCAAGATTCCCGACTTTTGGTCGCCGACGGACTTCCACTTAAATCAAAGAGGAAGCAGTCAGTTTTAGGCAGCTTTATTCGCGGTGTCTGCACTCCAATGTCCGTGGCTACTGTCTGAGAAAGAAAAGCGGTGACTTATACATCGCGGGGAGGGTTCATGGTCGCCGAGGTAACGAGATGGCGACAAGTACGAGACGGCGGTACGGGACGAAGCGGTCGTGAAGTGACCGATGTCGCCGGCTTGTGCGGGCGAAACCTGCTGATCTCAGGTAGATGGTCGGCGCGGGGACGCAGACTGCGACGCTGACGAGATCGGTGGCTGTGGGACAAGCGAGGGAGAAACGACGGCGGAGAGAGACGGGACAAACGACGGGCGCGGGACGAGACGGGGGGCGCGGAGCAGAAGGCGCACGAGACGGGTGGGCGAGCGCGGGGGCACGAACGGGGCCGGGACGAGACGGGGGGCGCGGGACGAGGGACGGGCGCGGGGACGAAGACGGGGGCGCGGACGAACCAGAGGGCGGCGAGGGACCAGGACTGCGGCGCGGACGAAGCGGCGCGGGGACGAGACTGCGGGCGGACGGGCCTGCGGCGACGAGACACGCGGCGCGGGACGAGACGAGCAGCGCGGATGAGATGGGCTGTGCGGGACGTGACAGTACAGGTGAGGTATTCTTTGCGCTGTCTGCAGGTGAATTGTAGGAGTATCGCTCGCAAATTAGTTGTGGAATTTGAAAGTTTAATTGACACACATAGCCTGATGTAATAATAGTAAGAGTGTTGGCTCACAGAGGAGATAAACAACGCACGAAATATTTAGTCGAGTTTCATTACATACATGGACGGATCGTAAAAATAAAATAGGAGGGGGCATTTTCATTTGCGTTAGAAAAAACATGAACAGTTTGAAATAATGGAACGATGATTACATGAGATTTAGGTGTTCCTTACGGGAAATGGGGACAATACGATCTTAAATATAGTTTGCGGTATATCGTGCTACCTAACGAGAACTTGTCAGCAGTACATAAATTAGTAGAAATAAGTAATAAATCCGGGGTTACTTTCAGGAACATTCTCATAGATTGGTGGAGATCTAAATTTACGCGGATATATCGTGGCAAGGTGTGGTAGATGCAAAAAGCAATGAACAATCCCTCCTTAACCGAACTCGTTTGGGAACAACGATTAACTCAGGTAGTTGATGTTCCTACACAGAGCCTAAGCGCGGTGCTTTGACGTAATTTTTAGGTTCGCCCAGCAGGCAGATGTTGATAGCTCAAAGAAACAACACCAGGTATAAGTGAACCACGAGGGCGTGCTTTTTTGCAGGTGGCGTGGCAGGGAACCAGGTACTCGAAAAACACACGAAAACTATTATTTCAGTAGCAGTCGTGCGACACAAAAGGTTTCAGGAATACTTATTGGGAAACTACGGCGTTTTGGCAATCAATGGTAGAAACGTAGAAGAAATATGGAACTCATTTAAACCAAATAATGTTTATAGGCAGAGATTGTTTGTGCCAATAAGATAGTTAAAGAACAAGTGATCGCCCAGAGCCGTATTAGACTTAATATCAGAAAACTCAAAAAAAGGTCCAGAAAAAGCGTACGCTAACATCGTAAGAAAAGACTTTTCACTGCGGCTCTCTTCCAAAGATCTCGTAATAAATTAATGCAGCCAAAACGTATAGCGCAAGAAAATTATCTCCGTAACAATTCATCAAACGAGCGATCTGTTGGAGAAAATTTTTTTTATAGATAACATAAAAAAAAAAAGGGGGTTTTAATCAAAGAATCTAATTCGCCACTTAAAGACGAAAACGGGAAATTTGATACTAACAAATAACAGAAAAGCTGACATATTTTAGTGCATATTTGCCAATCAAGTATTCGCGTTAGGATCGATTACTTCCAGTACTTTCGAAACAAATGAGGGAGAAAAATTCAAGTACAAAACCACGACCATTAGACAAAGAATTCGCAATATAGGAAGTAATAAATCCGTTGGTTGAACGGTATCGCTGGAAATTATTACAATTGGAGGGAACCGATGATTACCATATACTGAACACGATTATTTGAAATAAGCATAATAATTGTAGCGTGCCTAACGAATTGGAAAAGGGCTAATAGTGGTTCCAATATAAAACCGGAAAGCGTTCTGCAATTCAATTACAGACGCAGTAAGCCTAACGTCCAGTGATTTCCAACAATGGAACATCTGGTAGTTGATTCTTATCTTGCGTTCCGGGAATGGGCAAGACTAGGGGTTATACGAAGGGCAACATGGATTCGAAAATCCCTTCTTCGTGTGAAAGCCAAATTATTTACCACGTGTCAAGAATTGCTGCAGACTTTAGAATTCGGGTAAGAGAACAGACAATTGTTATAGATTTTCAAAAGCATTCGATCTTGTTTCACACGATATACTACTTACGAAAATAGCATCTACGGGAATTGATAATCGCGTATAAGCATGGATACGAAGAATTCCTGAAAAATCGGGTTCAACAAGTTCGAGTTGGACATGAAACATTCAGAGGCACCCTAATTACGTCCGGGCGTCCCCCAGGGAAAGTGTCTTAGGCCCGCTGTTTTTCTGGCATTCATCAACGAACTGCCATCCTTGTAATTAAGTCAGTAATGCGCTTATTTGCGGACGACTGCATAATTTTTATTCGGCGGAATAGATTCGGAATGAACATATTCTCACACTTCAAACCGATCTTAATAACATTCATTTCCTGGGCTACCATTAATAAAATGAAGATAAATGCTGCTAAAAAGTAAATCATAAGCTTTCGAAATCAGCAAAGACAGGTTTCTTTAGAATAACCAAATGGGAGGCGTAGTTCATGTCCACAAGTACGTGTTGAAGTTATCTGCGTGTCATAATTACGCCAAGACTGCGGATGGGGGACACGTTACTTCTATTAGCCCGAAAAGCGTGGAAGTCACTTACACTTTGTAATGAGAACACTTAAAAAAGGGCGAAACATGGAGAGTCGAAAAATAGGGAATACACATCTTTAGTTAGGCCGATTCTTGAATACGCAATCAGCTGGATGGATCATACAGATTAGGGTCAATGAAGAGTTAGAAAAAATTCAAAAAGAAAGCAATTCAAATTCATAAATAAGCGGATCTCGAGTAGTTGCAAATCCACCAAAGATCTTTAGAGGCCCTCAGGTGTGCGAAAGAAAAAAGCCAGATTGTTGCTGCCTCTTCAAGGCGTTAGCAGTAAAGTCAACCTGCATGGGCAGAAATTAAGAAAAGACTAGACCCCCTCCAAGAGTGGGAGAAACGATCAAAATGCAAAATAAAAGTAGATGTCAGAGACCGACGTAGGGAAATATTCATTGTAAAATCGTTACGGTTAAAAAATTGGAAATGAAATCCCTGCAGCACGGTCGTAGAGCCTTTTCCTGGTGTCTGTTTGGTGTTTTTAGAAAGACAACTTAATAAGTACTTGTAGGGTGTAATTTTTACCGCACAGCTCAGAATACACAATCTTGTAGATTATTATAGATAAAGTGTAGTGTAGTTCAGTGCAGTGGAAAGCTACTTTAATTAGTTATAAATGGCATAACCAAAGAAAGATGTAGTGAAAGTGTAGTGGAGTGTAGTGTAATGTAGTGTAATGTAGTGAAGTGAGGTGAAGTGAAGTGAAGTGCGACAGTAGGTGGGGAGCAAACCTAAATGCTTAAAGAGCTAACTTTAAAAATCACATTGTGTTTATATTTTAAAAAACAATTGTGTAACTGGTTTAATTGTATGTATATGTATATTATGTGGCATGTTTACTAGTGTAACTAAATATATGTTCTTCATTGTAAATGTAGGCATGTATAATATGTAGGGCAAGTGTGTGTGTGTGTGTGTGTGTGTGTTCATGTTATGTGTGAAAGTGAGAGTGAGCAATTCATGTATAGGAATGTTGTGTGTATGTATGTATGTATGCATGCGTATGTATATATGTGTGTGTATGGGTGTATATATGTGCCATAGATGTAATACAGGTCTGTGTATGTTTATATATTGAGTGTATACGCTCGAAAGAAGTGTAGTGTAA